CCTGATGTGTGCCACGCCCACCTCGTTACCTCGTGTGATTACCAATTGTGATCATCTGTGTCCTGTTATTTCTGCCTAGTCTTTTGTATTTAGTCCGAGTCTCAGTCTGTCTTCCCCAGATCTGTCATTGTAGTGTCAGTGTGTTGTCCGTGCTTGTCCGTGCTTGTCCGTCTACGTACAATAAATCCAGTGTACCTGACGTTCTGGCTGCACTTTGCCTGCTTCCCTGCTCGCCCTCCCCGCGATGGCTGACAATCAGGCTTCAGAAAAAGACTAGGCTTGATTAACCAGCCCAGAGGGTGTGCATCTGATCCAAGTTTAGGATGCCATTATAGACGAACATACAGGATTAATGAGCTTAGAAAGTGCCAAACAATTTGAAGTTTGCCTTCCCGGCTGTGTCTCTGTGAAGCTTTGCATGTCAGGGTTTGATTACTGCTCTTTATCTCCAAGGCTGATGGACTTTTCAAAGCCACTGGGTCTGACAGGTTCCCTAACAGCTTTGGGCAACTCTGTCCAAGATCTCTTGCCCATGCAAAAAAAGGATCTTCCAGCTCCTTCACCTCTCAGGAAAGATGCCTCCAGCAGCAGCAACCTGGCTACAAAATCAGAGAAACTGCTGGAAACCCCTTGTTCAGGGTTATTCAAATCACGGTCCTCGAGGTCCGAGCACTGCTGGTTTTCCAGCCTTCCTTTACCTGTCAGTCAGGTGTGAAGCCTCTGACCAATCAGAATCAGTAATTATTAAAATAACTACTTGGGAGAACTGAAAACAAGGCCTGGATTTGGAATCGAGGTGCAGATTTGAAGAACCCTGCCCTTGTTAATCTCAAACGGCTCCGAAAAGTGCATGAAAGCAGACTGGGACCTCTTGACTTGCACTAAATGAAACTCTGGGATTCCTTGGTGTTTCCTTGGTGTTTCCGTGTTAGCATCTCAAACTTCCCTGTACACCTACGCTCCTGCATCTGAAAGTTTGATTACAGAGATCAAAATCAACAGTCAACAGATGAACCGTGCTTCAAGGACATTTTGATGCATTTTAGCACCGTTTTTCAGAAAATCGCCCTGTCACCATTGTTAAAAGAGCCCCATTCTTCGTGCTGTGGGGGTGGGCAAACTCGTCTAGAAATAGAGATGTGTGGCTTTGTGCTTCACCATAGTTTTGACAAAATGAATCAGCATATCCTTTCATTAGTTATGTACATGTCATATCCTTTGATGTTCCTGATCCCCCCCCCCCAAAAAAAAAATCCCACTCCCTCGCCTTATATAGACATACTCCTGTCACTTCTTATAAAGTTACACAAAACACCAGCAAATGGCGTACTTCTTCCTGAAATTCACAAAAAAATTGCAAACTCTGTTGGATTGCAGTGCGTGATTTATGAATGGAGGGGGGGGGGGGGTCTTTGATCCACTCGTGACCTTTATTCTAACTGCTGACCCCCTGACCTCACATTGCATATTCTGAAAACACTGACACTATTTTTTTTTTTACAAAGTACATCATTGGCCTTCTAGCTTGAAATATCCACAACATACAAATTAAATGCAAAACTTAATGAGACACTGTATTTCCGATGCTAGTTACAAAGGGAGTTTGTTTCCTTAGTTATAATTAATCATGGGGTGAAATCGCACGTATATCGAACAAGTGCTCACTGACACACAAGTCACCGTGGTCCTCTTTTAAGGCTAGGGGAGGAGCCCGCAGAGCAAGCCATAAAATGAGCCCGATCTAGGCGAAAAGAAAAACAGACCCCTAGAAGGCAGTGAAAGCAGACGTCTCCGGCTCAAACACGAGATTAGGCTGTGTTTATCCGGACAGATCCGTCCCGTTGGGTTTGCTTAGTGCGTTATTTTCGGCCGCCGCGGAGAAATAAAGAAGCCGCTCGGAGCGCTGCAACTTCGACCCATTTCTGCGTTATTGCGAAGACGTCGTTCACGTTTATTTTCTGAGATCTATAGCTAGCTACGTCTTCGGCAGCAACAGCATTAAAGTACAGCTACGTGGGAAGCATGACTTGTACAATAAGCAGCTTCTTCGCTACTCTGGTGGTGTTGCTCCTGTGGCGGGTGGAGGAAATCGCAGAAGCCTGCAGCTGCTCTCCGGTGCATCCTCAACAGGCTTTTTGTAATGCAGATGTAGGTAAGTAACCTCGCACATTTAGGTGACGTAGTGCAGCCGCTATTTCTTTTTGCTGTAGTGTAGACTATGATGGTAATGTTTCAATGCGCGCCTTTGGTCTCCCTGGCGTCTGGTGTGTTATGCGTACAACTGCATTTTTAATGAAAGGATGAGAAGCATGCTGTTATCCTCCTTAAGGCATAAACATCACATTGTAGAGTTTGGCTGCGTTCAGAAGTGACAGCAGAATGACCCGCGCTTATTCTAAACGCACTTGAAAGGTGATTGAACATTTCAATTGAAACTTAAAGCCTTATATAGTGCTGTGGTTTACGATTGGCTTCTTTGTTTAAGATAATTTAGTTATTCGGCCACTCATTAGCAGATGACAACCACAGCTATACAGACGCAGCCCAGGTGGGACAAAACAAATACATTAAAAAGCGCGCTATAAAATCTCGCGCAAAGTACACCCAGTGATATGCAATAGAAAAACGAAAGTGACCTGGTAATTGGTTAATTGCCGTGTTTACATTTCTACTGTGCACAGTGGTAAGCAAAATAAGAGGATGAGTGACGGTGACAGGCAGGTATGGCAGTATGTGCCGAGTCCCTCAAATACCTGAAGGATCTGGCACTGGATGGCCGCATCGCGATTACACCCCCCCACCCCCCACCCCTTACAAACTGTTGGGTTCATGTTGCAAGTCCACTGAAGACAGGAATGTGATTTTTTAAATCCCAAGGTTGTCTTCACTAAAAAAAAAAAATGTCTGTCAACGAGTATTCATTTCATGGCAACGTGAAGACGCGCACACTCAAATGGATGTAGTGGGGAAGCCAACAAAGATACCGTTATTATTCTGAGCATATTGCTATAATTTTGTCAAAAAGGTTTTCCTCATAATTCATCTCTGTGGCCTTCGTTTGTGTTTCAAGTACAATATACTCATGCGAAGCGGCTTGCCATGATTAATGGACAAAAATGTTAATGTATGAAACGTATTTCAGTTCATATTACATTTAATACGACATTAGTGTACGACGCAGAGCTGTATGCCGCGCCTTACTGTAAGTGGGACGGTCACATTTTCTTTCACTGTCCGCCTTTACTCCCCGCCTTATCAAAAGATGCGAAATTTCTCTTTGGTTTCCTGCTTTTGATGCTACCCGGAGCAATTTCTTGTGACTTTTTCACCTCGGGACGTCCAAACGGGAGGAGACCGCTTAAAGGATAACAGGCTCAAACGTGCCCGTAAAAGTGTAATGGCTCTGAAATTCCATCGCCGTTTTCCCAGGCAAAGTTAAACTAACTTCCAGAAAATGGTTGTTTCATGTAGACAAATTGGATTCACAGTGTGTTCCCCCAGCATCAGCCACTGGCGGCTTTGCGAGAAAGGAAAAATATGAGCCGTTTTTCATCACTGCAGAACCTCGGCTTATAATATTGCACTTTCATTATTTGAAATAGCTGGAACCGTGGCACCGCAGGAGCCTAGTAAAGCGAGGCCGAGAGGCTGGGCTCCATTACCTTGTAGTTGTTAATACCCCGAGTGTAACAGGTCATTCGCAACGTCTGAGCGCCAGTGGGCGGTGATGCGCATCGCCGTCATTTAGCACAATAATACAACCTCGATAGAATAAACATTTCAAATTTTTATCTTAATATCTCAAAGCCAACGCTGTGTGGCTTGTTGTATAACATTACATTTGAGGCGATTTTGATAGGTACCCAATTAAAAGTACAATCTTGGTTTATATAAATTCTTGTTTCCATGCAGGAAGAGAGATACAAGTTTAAACGATGTTTTTGTTTTTTGAAAAAAGATTAGCAAGTAAACCACAGCAAAATCAAATGTAATTACTTTTCTTTCCTTCTAAAACAACAATAAACATAGATTCCATAACGTTTATTAGGAAAAGAGGAAAACAGAAAACAGGGCCGGGCACTAAAGTGCAGACCGAGTGGCACATCTTTGCTCTCACTTCAGATCTACCATGTGTTCTTGTGGCTGCATGAAATGGCTTTGATGGTTAATTAACGAGCCAGTGGCTTCATCCTCCATGGCAGGCAGCTGCTAGCTCTGTTTAGCTAGCGGTGACGGCTGCAGCGCTCTCATCCACACTTTGTGCTATGATGCCATCAGTGAAAAGTGAAAAGGTAGCCTGGGACCAGAATTACAGAAACCGATTGTAGCAGCCTTCTGAAAGGCAAGAAGTGGCTATAAGCATCTGAGCTCAGTAATACTGAGGGAAAAGTAGTTTACCGTGAGAGGCAAACATTTATACATTTCTTTCAAGTGATGAACAGGGTGAATGATGCCAGGTATGAGCCTTGGGTTGAGGTCTGGCCTATCTGTGATGTGGGTGAGTGCATTTTGGACAGGCCTTCTGTGAAGACGACTGTTTCTCTCAGAGCCCTCGCCAAGGCAGGATTCCATGGCACGGGGGCCAGTCTTGCCTGGTGTGTACGTGGCATGCGCTAGCAAGAGAAATGGAGTGAGAGAGAGATTTGGCGGTGGTCTGCATGCCGGGGGCTCGACGTTCCAGGTTCTGCTGCTTGGAAGGGACTTCGGCCAGCTCTCGAGTAAAAGGGCGGTGGCAGCCATCAGGCCTGAAGTATGACAGGAATGCTGCAACAGGTCCCACGGGACATTCCCGCCCAGTTCAGGATTAATTAAATGGGACAGCATTAATCCAGATGCTGGCATGAATGGCGGAATTCAAGTCCCCCGCTTCCCCAGAGTTCCACAGGAGCCCATGGCTCTTCCCCTCCCCTTTAATTTTTTTTTTAGTTTAAATTACTTATTGGGAGTGGAATTCAATTGGAATCCAACTTCCCAGCAGATTACAGAACCATCTGGCCCAGTATGACGTCTGGTTTAGTTCTGGATACACACAAGCGGAAAAGCAATAAAATGCAGAGGACCTTTAAGAAATATGTATGGTATTCTCCAAGTGGTGTGAGAAACTCCTCCCATCTGGCTTATTATTATTTAGTCACATAGCTTGGTTCTTTCATCCATCACAGCTAATAACCTTACTGTTTACACAGCTGGGTATTTTAACGAAGAATTTCAGGTTCAGCATTTTGATCTAACAACCTTCTGGTTACAAGCTCATGTGGGATGCTACAGTATAATCTATTGTTTCTTTTCTTTGTACCAACTGGCTTTGATTCAGCACCCCGGTTCTATGATACTGAAATTCACCAGCAGTGTGTGGACAGTGTCATTCCGAATGTTCTTATAATAAGTGTCAAAATCGTTTAATACAGTCTTGGTATATGCAGAAGTCAACATAGCAGTAGAATATTCAGCTTAAGCGAATTGATATATCTAATTAATATTTAAATATTATATATTATAATATTTGTTTTTTAGACTTGAATTTTTTTTCTCTGAGATGTCTAATTTGATAGAATTCTAAAGAAACACTTTATGTCCTAAGTGTGAGCTAAGTTCATGCCATGGTGAGCCAATACCAATGACCAAGCTTTTAAGAAATGAACAATACCTTCAGGAGCCCCTTAAGATAATGAGTGAATCAAATTATTATTGCAGTGCTGTCACTTCACCCACTTTTTAGAATCACATGTGCACATACTCTACGTGCAACTTGCTGTAACATGAGTGTGATATCTGAATTCATGAATGGGGGGGGGGGTTCATTCTGCATATTAATATGTTTTCTGGTGTGATAAACCAGAGAATTCATTTAGTCATCACCTCACAAAACTCAAAAATAAAGTTCTTGGGAGTTCAACTATACAACTTTTCCAGTTTAAATTGCTAAAGACTACAGCACATATAACTTCCCTATAAAGACCCTAGTGACTTTGGCAGCCATTTTTACTCTTGGATTTGAAGGGAACTATTGGAAGAAGGTTTTTGAGGGCATATGCAGGGTTATTTTTCCTAGTGGTTAAGTTATCAGTCAGTTGTTTCCTGTAGGATAGTCAAAAGGTTCATGCAAATCGCTTTGATGCTATACAATTTATTTGTGCTCTTTCCGCTGCACTCCTGCAAGATGCGTGACTCTCATCTCGTAACACAGTTGTGCAAGGCAGCAACGGAGCCACAAAAAAGTCATCCTTTGCAACTACTGCAGTAACACATTGTTTTTATGGTGAGGATTTCTACACAGATTTTAGAAGTGCTGCAACCATAACAGATGGCATCATTTTCTCTGTTGGTGTAAGGTCAGGAAAATGGGAACTGATGTGTTACCAAACAGAGTCAGGGTGAAATGGTTGTGGTAATATGCAGATAAATGTAAGGTAATGTTACCTAGCTACTCGCCACATAAATGTGTTTAGTGTATCAACTTATACTTGAATCTGTAAATCAGCTCTTGAACCAAATGCAAAACAGAAAATGCAGAGAAAACCTTCGGACCGGAGCAGAGGGGGTTGCTGAGTCCGGATGGCCCTTGTGGGGATTTCTGATGGCCCAATACTTGGATGCCTATAAACGGAAGTCACTGCTTGTTTCTCACTTTAACTCCCGCTGTTGATCACGCACTTCTGTCACCAACAGTTTAACGGTATTCTAACAGTAATAGGGTGGTGGATTTTATATGAATGGTGCATTCTCTCTCCAGCACTGTTTTCATTATACTTGCATCACAAAAAATATTTGCTGTTTCGGCTTCCCACAAAAATAAGCTGATAGTTCACACGGACAGCTTAAAAGGATCTGGAAATGAGATGTAGCGGAGGGGCAGCTGGGAAATAGCTGAGATTTGACAGGAAGATATATGATCAGTGAAGGTCAAGAAAATTTGTTCAGGTGTTGTGCAGTATTACTTTTACAAAACCTTTAGAAAAATCGGAGTGAAAGCAGTAAGGTTAATCTTCATGAAGTACTGGGCTTGTTTTTAATCTAGGAGAGAGAGACCATAAGAATGAAGGTCTCACTTCAGTTCTTACATTTCTTTGAGCAGTTACTATATAGGTGTGGTTATATGGGACAAAAAGAGGACAAGCCCCTTGGCTTTACAAAGCTAATGCTACACAAACC